TAAAAGCGACCACTGAAGGACACTCCAAAGGCACCTTCTGAGCTTCTCTGGCTGCGAACACTTCGCCGTCCTCATGGTTCGACGCTAGGAAACTTCGCCTTTTAACTTGGGTTCCTTTGGACTTCTTTGGATTTTATATGATTTTATATTTTGTTGCATGTTTTGCAGCTACATTGAATTTTGAACTAAGGTTCAAGAGCGTTGAAGAAAAGTAACCCTACAAACAACAAGATCAACAAGCAAGTGCTCCTTAGGAAACCTTCAAGGAAACCTGCTCAAAATCGAAACCTGCTCGGAGGAAGCACGGGTTTCGCACTGCAGTGATGTCAACTGGGCTTCGCACTCTCTCGAGATGCATGGCACGAGGGCTCAGGCTTTCCAATACATCCAACAACATGTTCAACCGAAAAAAAAAAACACCACACATATGTAGCAACCGTATTGACACAAACGTATTGACACAAGAGCCCGATGTAGTCCGATACCAGGTGTCACATAATTCACATTCAGATTCTTGAGGCATGCTACAACTGTTACGTCAGTTTTAATGTCATGATCTTTGAACTTCGAACTCGTAGGAGCTGTGAACCACAAAGCAAGATCGCGCAAACCAATGAGTTTGCTACCGACAAAGAAATATCTATGCCATCTGTGCTCCGGGCAACTGGAGGAGCCGTGGGCTGGTGTGCAACAAGCACCCAATTTGTCTGCAGAGGTTTGATTGAAAAATCTTTCAGAGCTCCAACTCCCTCAGTGCAAACTACATCTAACTGAATGTAGTTTGCATCCAAAAGTACATTGTGGTGAATGTACTTTGTGTTCAAAATAAATGCGAAGTAGATTGAACAACGTATCGTTGGATGCAAAGACATTGAGCAATCGAAGGGCAAAGTACGTTGAGAAAACAACTACGTTCAGTTGAGTGGAAAGTGCAATCAGTTGGATGTACTTTGCATTGTGGTAGTCTGGTGTTGGCAACATGTCGCATTTTTTTCATCAAAATTTGCATCCGAAATGGGGGAGAAGGCTGCCATTCTTTGGTGAAATGGGGCCTGGACCATGGTGGTCGCTGAATTGACGGGACTGTTGAACCCCAAACGTTAACATGGATTGCTTATTCTTTGTCATGGCGTATTGAAGTGCAAGACTTGAGTTGTCTAAGGTCCAGGTAACTATACCAAAACTCGCTAATTTCTGGAACATGTTTTCAAGTGCTACATACATGTATAAGGTGACCTAAAATGACCTTTATAGCGACACACTGAAACTTAGAATGCGATTTTGGAAACGGCGCGCTGCAAAAAAGTCACCGGCAAATGCCAAAAAGTGCTGCCGGTGATTTTTTGCCCCGTTTTTTCAGTCGATGCATCTTAGTAATGGAGATCTTAGAATGCGTGCCCACCGAACTGTTTATCATATAATTGTCCTTCTATCATGGTTTTGAGGAATTGTCAGGTCGCCGCGTTCTAGTAATGTAAACTTAGAATGCCGGCATCTATCTTGTGATTTTCACCACCACCTGTTTTTATTTTTCAAGTTTTACCTGCATTTTGGACACATTTTGCACTTTTTTTGGTGTGTTGGTTCTTAGTCAGGTTTCATCGGTCTACTGAAATATGACCACATCTAAGTTTGATCAGAAGATTTTACTTCCATCATGGTTTTGGCATGTTTTGATTGGGTATTTTCAGGGGGATGCGTTCTAGTACTGTAAACTTAGAATGCCGGCATTGATTTTGTGATATTGATGAAGGATGCCATTTTTGGGTTTCTTACCTAAATTTCTGACAGTTTACGAACATTTTTGGGCCCATCGCCATATATTCCAATGTATTTTCCAAAGTTTTTACATTTATATTTTATATATACGGTAACTACATATAAATATACGGAGTTTCAAATATACGAACTGGTATTTTAGACTACCCCCGGGAAAGTTTCCCGTGGCTCGCCTGGCCACTTGAAATTATAGGTTTTATAGAAGCTCTATGGAGGATTTATGGAGGATTTATGAGGTATGGAAGATTTATGGAGGATTTATGGAAGATTTATGGAGGCTTTATAGGGGATATATGGAGGATTTATGGAGGATTTATGGAGGATTTCTGAAGGATTTATGGAGGATTTATAGAGGACTTATGGGGGAATCATGGAGGATTTATGGAGCATTTATGGAGGCTTTATGGGGGATTTATGGAAGATTTATGGAGGATTTATGGGGCATTCATGATGGATTTATGGAAGATTTATGGAGGATTTATGAAGGATTTATGGAGGATTTACGGAGGATTTATGGAGGATTTATGGAGGATTTATGGAGGATGAAAGATTTGTCCTTTTTCTCTGTTGATCTTTCAGTCGAGCAGATGCATGCGTTGGAGGATTTACGGAGGATTTATGGAGGATTTATGGAGGCTTTATAGGGGATTTATGGAGGATTTATGGAGGATTTATGCAAGATTTATGGAGGATTTATGGATGATGAATGGAAGACTTATGGAGGATTTATGGAGGATTTATGCAAGATTTATGGAGGGTTGATGGAAGATTTATGGAGGATTTATGGAAGATTTATGAAATATTTATGGAGGATTTATGGACAAGTTTTCCGAATTTTGATTTTTGAATTTAGAATGACGCCAAAAACGATTGAAAACCAATGAAAAACATGAATACCAAAGAAAAACAACAGAAACACCAAAGAAAACCAATGAACAAAAACAATGATAACTAAAATACAACAAATGAACAACTATTTAAAATAGAAAGTAAAAAGGAAAAACCAAGAAAAAACAATGAAAACCACAAAAAACAAATCAACAGCCAAAGAAAGGTCAACAAAAAAGCAATGAAAACCAATGAACAACAAAAGACAAAGTTGATGACAACCAAAGAAAACATAAGAAGCCGACTCAAAGACAAATGAGCAGCAAGGAGAAACACATGAAAAACTAATGAAACCCGATGAAAATCCAGGAAAAATAATGAAAAAACATTGAACACCAAAAAAACTAAAGAAACATGAGTGAATGATGAAAAAACCAAAGAAATCGTTGAACAACAAATGAAAACCAACGAACAAGACACGAAAACCAAAGAAAAACACTAGAAAAACCAATGAAAACCAATGAACAAAAACAATGAGAAGCAAAAAACAACATATGAAATTTATTGAGAACCAAAGAAAATCTATGAACACATCAAGGAAAAACCAATGAGAACCACAAAAACCAATGAAAAACCAAAGAAGGAACAACGAAAAACAATGGAAAACCAAAGACAATTTTGCCAGCATTCTAAGTTACTTTTGCCAGAGATTTTTGTTCCCTGTTTTTTCGAGGTTTTCATCTTCACTGGGGAAAGAAATAAGAGACAATTTTGATGGAAAAAAACAGTCTTAACGCGTCTTGGAGACAGAGGGTTCATAAAACCCTATAAACATGCAGTGCATATGTGCTTCAAACAGGGTTATTTTTCTGTATGCTGTTTTTTGGGAACCTTATGGAGGAAATCACACTGCACAGAGAGAACTTAACATGTTTATTCCTTAAAGGAAATTTAAGAGAATCTTAAGGAATTAAGGAATTGGAAGTCCCATGTCATGTGGTAAATTCGTCTTTTAAGGGATTTAAAGGAAATTTAAGGGAATTTTAAGGAATTAAGGAATTGGAAGTCCCATGTCATGTGGTAAATTCGTCTTTTAAGGGATTTAAAGGAAATTTAAGGGAATTTTAAGGAATTAAGGAATTGGAAGTCCCATGTCATGTGGTAAATTTGTCTTTTAATGAATTTAAAGGAATTTAAGTATTTAAGGGAATTTTAAGGAATTAAGGAATTGGAAGTCCCATGTCATGTGGTAAATTTGTCTTTTAAGGAATTTAAAGGAATTTAAGGGAATTTAAAGGAATTAAGGAATTGGAAGTCCCATGTCATTTGGTAAATTCATGTAAATTCGTCTTTTAAGGAATTTCAAGGGATTATAAGGGATTTCAAGAATTTTAAGGAGTTGTAAGGATTTTCAAGGAATTTAAAAGAATTTCAAGGAATGTAAAAGAATTTTAAGGAATTTAAAGGAATTTTGCAGAATTTAAAGGAATTTTAAGAAATTTAAAGGAATTGGAAGTCCCATGTCATTTGGTAAATTCGTCTTTTAAGGAATATAACGGAATTTAAGGGAATTTGAAGGAATTGAAAGGAATTTCAAAGAATTTAAAGGAATTTCAAAAAAAATTAAGGAATTGGAAGTCCCATGTCATGTGGTAAATTCGTCATTTAAGGAATCTAAAGGAATTTGAATGAATTTAAAGCAATTTTGAAAAATTTTAGGGAATTTCAAAGAATTTTTAAATGAATTTAACGGAATATAAAGGACTTTAAAGGAATTTGAAGAACTTTTGAGGAGTTTTAAGGAGCTTTAAAGAATTTAAAAGAATTTAAAGATTTTGGAAGAATTTAAAGGAATTTACCTGCCATTTCCCATCTTGGACGTCTGTGTCTTCCTGGAAGTCCCATGTCATGTGTAAATTTGATCACATATTCCCATGTCACCTGTCAATAAAATGGAAAAATACCTGCCCGTTAGGTCGGCGCATAACTCCCATGTCATGTGCCAAAAAAAACATAGCAAAATCGATACCTAAATCCCATGTCATGTGCCAAAAAACCTCGGCTAAATTGTTACATTTCCATTGATGTTATGTTGTGTAGGTATATGTGTTCATGTGTGTTTTAGTGTGTGAAGTCATATGAGATGCATTACCTAGTTGCCACTGAAATGTGACATGGCACTGTGTCAAAACCTTGTACCCCTGGTGAACATAAAAATAGCTGGTAAATGGATGTTCATCCCTCTAAAAATGGTATTAATAGGTATTGACTCATAGCCACATCATGTTTATGATTACATACATGTTTATGATTACATGCATGTTTATAACCACACCATGTCCACATCTCGGCTGTCACTTATATATAATTACATCATGTCCACATCTCAACTGTCACTTCCTGGAAACCAGGACCAACAAGAACAAAATGGAAACCAACAACCATGTCCTGGAAACCAGAACCAATAGTGAGATTATCCTGTGAAACAGGATGGAAGGAATCTTCGAAGTTGCTTGGCCGGGGAGATCCCAGAGAGAGACTTGACCCAGTTTCTCCAATGGAAATCGTGTGGGCAGAAGCGTGCCATCACCTTCCATGGAGACTTTAGGCATCTTGTCCGGAGGCAAGTCGACTCCAAAGTGTTTAAGGATGAATTTGATCAATGAACTCTTTCCGGTTCCCGAATCTCCAAGCATGGCCACGTTCACGAAGGGGTCTCGAGCAGCATCAGCCTGTGCATCCTCACTCACCTTGTTGACATAGCTCTCAAGGAAAAAGATGGGAAAAGGGGATTGGATATTCTCGCATCAACTGTTGCCACTTCTCAAGCTTAGCCTTTTTCGCCTCGTCGCGCTGTCTCTGAAGCTGCTGAAACCGCTGATCCAGCGCCGCTACTGCTACCCATCTCTGCGGCGCGACTAGGAACTGGCTTTTCTGTGGCGTTTTTGGGGGCTGTCAGCTGCGTGGCTACGATCTGCGACCTCAAACGACCATCAAATCTCAACAGATTTCAAAAAAATCAGGCCAAAAAGTTTCGTTAGTTCATTTGCGAATCGGAAAAAGGTCTCCGGCCTCTACATCAACTGAACGCCGCCTCCAAGCGCAAGGCTGCGCTGTGTTGTGTCAAGGCTTCCCCTACCTTGAGGCATCACTAGGGAGAGAAAAGAACAGAAAAAGCCGCCACTAGCTTTGCATATCTCCCTAAATTCATCCTCTTTTGATTTAGGAGTGTCCGGATATCATCGGATATCCGGATGCTTCAATTTTACATCTATTTATCTCCAGTTGTTTTTTTGTTGTGAGTGCTACCCAACGACTTTGACCAATGGCTGAAGTTGAGAGAATACACCGCGCGAAAACTTGATCTCGAGCAAAAGCTCATCGCGCCGTGGGGGATAGGCATCTGCAACAAAAAAAATCGAAGCCAAGGGCCCAGAGAATGAAAAAAAACAGGACGATTTTTGTTTGATGCTTGAAGCATATCATAGTATATCATAGTCTTATATCAAACAAAGAAGTCATGCTGTAGCTATCTGGAGGTTTCCATACATGGGTACCCCAATAACTGAATGGTTGATTTCAGGGAAAATCCATCAATGGATGAGAAGTGGGGGTACCACCATGACTATTGAAATCCCCAGAATTTCGCAACTTTTTTTTCGCCTTGGCTGCTTTCACCTCAAAGTCATGGCAGGCTTTGTGCCAACCTCGAGATATGGAAATGTCGTGAGACCAGTGGAGCGAACTACAGGTGCGGCACCGTGGCGACGATCCAAAAATCCAAGAATCTCCAGGATCAGATTGCAGAAATCTGCCAGTTCCCCTTGCATCTTGAGACATCAAACATCGGATTTACCATGGTTTGTGCTAAATCTTTCCTGAAAAATGAGAGTAACATAGAATAACTAGTGGAGCACCTACCTCAACACTGCCCAAGATAAGTAGGACAAGTGCATAACGAACTACGAAAACGAATTGAACTTCAGAGTGCGTTCTTCACACCCCAACATGCGACATGCGAACGCATGGCACTTACCCTCTGGTAATTTAACATAGCTATTGAAAATCACCATTTTTAATGGGTAAATCAACTATAAATGGGCCATTTTCAATAGCTATGTTAGTTTACCAGAGGGTAAGTATTGTGCACCATGAATTTTCACCCACACACGTGCCCAGACGGGACCATGGGCTGCTCATTTAACTCCTGAGCTGGAAACAGCATGGTTTGGGTCATAGGGGTCACCAAAAAAAACGGGTGGTTTGATAACGTCAACACAACCCATGGTTCCATCCCGTAAATTTTGACCCATATCCAGTTTGTGAATGAAAATGGCAATGTCACAAGTCAGAAGCATCGATGGAAGCAACAATCATGCAAACAAACAATGATTACACGGTTCACTTGAGAGTTTTCCTACAGAAAACGCGTCTTTCATCTTCTCTCCATCAGCCTGATTTTCCCGTCGATTTTCTCTTGAACCTCTTTCCGGAGATGAATACGATGACCAGAGGCAACTGACCACAAGTCACAGCAGTTTCCAGCTTCAGCGTGTGCCTCAAAGTTCTTGTTGTTGGGGAAAGCCGTGTAGAAAGGTGGCTTGTCCCTGCGGCGTTGTAAATCCTATCCCCATCCTGGCAAGATCTTATTCGCAACCCCCATATGGGCCCCCAAATAAAGATGGCTAGTACTCACGACTCCTGAGACGGGAAGAGGTTTCCCCCGAGGCTCTTTCCCAAAAATCATGATTTGATACTGCGTAAAAAATAAAGAATTGCTTTTTTTGAGGGGGACCCCATGTTTGAGCCGTATTAAGTGTGTTGCAGCCCCGGTTCAACTACCACATTGAAGATTCATCACACCAGCAACCGCTGCGCCTGATCTTGGGCAGCTCCAAGTAGTCCTAAGTTGGGAAACCAAATGCGTTGCTCCGATAGCATCCCGAAAGAAATGTTGGGAATATGGATATTTGGATACCTGGATGGATACCCCTCTGACCCAAAGGACACCTCAACAACCACTGGAGAGTCAGTGATTTGGCCTTCAAGATCCAACCTTGAAAGACATGTGGTTCTGTCACAGGTTGGTTACTAAAAACTAACGTTGCATCATTTTCATCCCAAACTCTCTGGAATAGATTTACTGTACAATTTACATGAAGAAAAATTCAGCACCGTCCGACTCTACCCTCTGGTAATAACTAACAGTTTGCGAACTGGAAATTGCCCATAGAAATAGTTGATGTTCCCATTAAAGATGGTGGATTTTCCATCGTTTTTTGTATGTTTACCGGGTAATTCTTTATAGACATGCTGAAGCTAGTCCTCTGTTCCCACACTTTCTTCCGCTGAGGTGCGTCCCGCAACTCGAAGGGCTTCTCCACATAGGGCACTGACCTGAAAAGTCGACCCTTTTGTTGGAGACAACTGCGGAAACGCCAAGGATCCCAACGATCAACAAATAATAAGACAAGCCATAGGTCTGTATTAAGTTATAGTGCTATAATAATCAACAAATAATAATCAACAAATATCAACTAGTAACTATGAATTGGGAGTTCCATAGTGCTTACTTCCAATTCATACAGTATGTAGCCATAGTAAAAACCCTAAAAACCGTAAAGTTGGAAGCACCCTGCATGGTGATAGCCAATGTTGAAAGGTGGTTACAGGATGTTACAGGTAGTTCCATCATCTCTCATCGGCACCTTCCAGACCCTGCACTTGAGCTCTTAGAGAGCGACTGGCTGTGTCTGAAACTTGGTGCCTCCCCCCAATGTTTTCATTATTTCGATGGGAAGATGATTTTCTTAGCAATTGGGATATGATTTCAAAAGCCTTGATGGTTTCCTTTCAGGGCTTGGTGAATTATGACAATCCCAATACAAAGGCCAGGTGAACAACCCTCAAAAAAAGAATCAGGCAACAAAACAATATCATAGCTTTGCTCATATCCCCATAACCTCACTTGAAAATCCATAAAATCCTCAAAAATCCATGACATCCACCCTGAAATATTCCCGTAGAAATGATATGAAATCCCCATGGATTTTCCGCACAAAACTGATGATTTTGAACCACCATCAACCCTTCCACCAAGCCAGGCCCTGGTGAACCAGTTGAGCCCCCGCACGCGTTGAGACTGGCAGGCACAGCCCGTTCCGCAGCGCGTCCCGGAGCCTTGAAATCCTCTGGGGAGGTTCTCATCAACTTCGACAGCCTCGAGATGACCATGATGAGGAGCTCAGCTGGGGTACCTTTCTAGTCATTCCAACGTAGGAAGATAGGTAAATTTGATATGCTCATAATAACTATGGTGATATAATTATATATATATAGTTTTATATCATGTATAATAGTTTATAGTTATGGCTATCAATAGGCTTACAATTCGATTGGGTTATAGCTGACTTATAACAGGTAAAGGATGGTAAAGGGCCACAGTGTGGTAAAGCCTGCATTATAAGTTATTACTCGCTTATCACAGATAAGTTATTATGATGTTCTTAAGTAATGTCAACCCCGGATTAATAAACCATGGTTTATTAATTAGGGGGTACTCCTCCAATAGTCATTTCATCCAATACTTAAATGCTACCCCCCAATTAACCAGCCTAAGGGTTTATTAATCCAGGGTTGACATTAATCAATGCATAAGTTGTCCAATCCTATAAGTTATTTTTTTGTGGTAAACGCCACATAGTGAGTCACATCCCCATAACCATAACTCTATGGGTTGTGGCAAAACCATCCCCAAATGCTAGGCTTATGGCGGTTTACGCCATTGGAAAGGTAAAGATGTCCAGTTGGATAGTAAAAGTTGGTCAAAGTTGTAAAACTTGCAATACACAATTTCTATGTAACCTATAAGATAAATGTCATTGGGTTTGGTGTCATGAGCTTGGCTAGTAACTCCCCATGAGCTTCATGGATGTGTTAGAGCACAATCACCGAACTACTGTATCGCTGGGAGATGTTCCACGTGAACGATGACAGCGGATGATAATGGAAAGTCCGCATCATGGATCATCCATGGTGTTTTTTTTATGGGCTTTACCTCAGTGGTTGTATTGTGGGTTCCACAATGATCCTGGGAGGCTCAATGTCTCAGCAAATGGGATCAAGAAACACCTGGGAAAACACCTAAATTGGAGCACCAGGAAACTTCATCCCAAACTCTGCAGGTGGATGAAGTTGTTCTCAGTGTTTTTTTTAATATGCGTCAACATGTCAACCTTCCCGGCCTGCTTTGCATGACTCGGTCTTGCGCTTCTAGATTGTAAGGTGTCGAGGCCTTAGCCAACAATCTGCTTCCTGGGATGACTCGCATGTGCTGAAGCTGCCACAAAGTGCTCCGATGCCAAACACAATACTCTGAAAAAGTCAATTCGTAGAAACTCAGCGTTCATTTCGTTTTCCACTAGTGGTTTAACACCACAGGTGGATACACTTGGAAGTTGTTTTAGTATGTTTTAGTCGCATCCACGGATTTTCCCCAGATCCGTTCCAACTTGCACCAACCTGCACGGACTTGTAGAGGTGTGCTGCCTGCAGTTGAGATACTCAACTAATCAATGGGAAATTCAGACAGCCGAACCCATATGGAGGTGTCCTAAGATGGGGGTAGCTCCAAATCCATATTTCATAGGTTTTTCATGGTTTTTCCATACATTTATAAACCCTCCAGCTATTGAGGTACCACTATTTCAGGAAACCCCCATATTTTTGATGTAGGAAACCCCCATAAAAATTAAAAAAAATGCGTGTTTGAACTTGAGGATTTTCACCGTTGAACCATCCGTTCAGTTGCAGTTTTTTCAGTTCCGTGCTGCCGCGCCTTCACATTCGCCACCTCAATCTGTTCCCTCGACCTGTCAGTGTCATCAACCTTTAGTTGAAAATCCTATGGATGTCCATTTGGAGATGATGGTCATCATTTAGAATCCCATGAAAAAATACCATCAATCAACAAATATACGGTTTTTTTTGCTGTTTTTCTATGGAACCGGGGATTTCAAAGTCCCACATCATCAAGCCTGATATATCCTGCACCAGTCATCAGGACAACAGCTCAAAAAAAAGTTTCCACCCGCGCCTGAAAGGACCCTGCACTTTCTGCAAGCGCCCACTACTCGCCGTCCTTTTCAGCTGGTCATGTTCGGTCTGATGTGGAAAAAAGCCCCCTAAATTGAGAAATCCCAATAAATGATGGGATAATTGGTTGATGGGATATTTCTGATGGTTATTGATGGTTGAGAAATCCCATCCCAATCATCCCAAGCATCCCAATCATCCCATTTTCCTCTCATTCCCCTCCTGAAGACGCATGGAGCTCGATCCGGCATGTCTTGCGGTGGGCATGTCATGCCATCTGGCGAGCAAAAGGGCTGGGGATGGACCCATAAGAACCACCATTTTTGGGCCATGTTTTCATCCAATCTGGGGCCCGGTTTTGCCTGACCGTGTCTTTATATCGACTATTTGTTGTGACTTTCCAAACTATTGGAGGGTACCTGGATTTGACGCATGCATCCAAATGTCAAAGACAATAGAGACATATAGAAACTCGGTGAGATGCTTTGAGATTGGTCACTTTACGAATTTGGGGTGTCTGAGATTGGTCGAACACCTCAGCACTGCTGAAGGATTGGCTGGATTGGTTGGATTGGTAAAGCCGGCCCACACCTGCCCCATCATGCATCTCTTGTTGCGAAACTCGGCGAAGCGCGAAGCGTGAAGTTCGGCGGGAAAGAAAAACATGAGCTGCTCAATCCTCTGTCATTACTAGTGGTTGCTGAAGAGAACGACATGTTCCATCATCATTTTCAAATGTTCAACAAAAATTGGGAAATTTTGAAAATTTGAAAAGTTTCTGAACATACCGATCTAAAGTTTTCCATATGGCTAGTTTCAAATTGTTCAAACCAGGGGAGCCTTAGAGAGCTGAGCATCCCACGTCCATAGCGAGCACCTCTTGGCGCGGCCTCGGACACCCAACAAGCGCGCGCGGATCGTGGATCCAGCCACAGCCACGAATTTATGTCCACAAAAATTCATCATCAAATTTGATCATCAAACATCTGACAATTTGATCATATATAGATCACATCTTATATAGATTATCTATGATCATCTGGCAAAAAATTTTCGATGTTTGAATAAAAGACTTCCTGGGCCTCGTGTGTCTTCAAAATCCCGCCCATCCCTGGGAGAACAGCTTTATGGTGCGGCCGACGCAGAGACCTTGAGGAAATGCTGGAGAAATCTGGCTGAGAAACACCAGATTTTTTCGATTTTTTACGACCTGGCTTAGGGAAGAATGATGAACTTAGCCATAGGGAAAGCTATCAACCGAGCAGTAGAATGAAATTGGGATGATGATATGGAATGACATGGAGGTGTCCGTTTTCTCATAAGGCTACAGCCAGTTATCATCCAGTCGTCATGGATGAAAATGACGACTGGTATTGAAAACCATGATGACTTGGGGATCCCCCATTTTAAGAAACCTCCATATATCTGTAATATTTCTTGGTAAAGGATATATCACCACATCATTCTATTTCACGAACTTCATTTTTTGGCGATGACAACCGAAATATAACATACTAATGCCCATGGTGTTTACCCAATGCCATAAATCGTATTTCTGCGATGGTACAAGCCGAGACCTCCAGTCATGGTGGGATGCTTGATTATTGGCACCAGCTTACTACAAAGAAGTGATGAATCTGTTCAATATGTATATATATACATATATATATATATATATATGTGGGAAATAAAAGTTGGAGCAATATATATATATATACAATATGCAAGAATCTTGCGTCGCTCATCCATCATGGATTCGCGACAAGCATTGTGGATCAATGTGTGGAAAAGAAGTCCCTACACTGTGGTGCATAAGCCTCACATCTTGGGAAGGAACCACACCAGGTTCTCATAGCTAGAGTTTTCCTCAGGACCACGTGTAGCTCCTGCACGGTAGCGGAGCCTCAATTGAGGCAATTGATCCAGGGTAGTTTTTCTAGCCTAGTCTGCCAGGCCGACTAGGAACATGGGAGAACGTGTGGTGAAGCGCGTGGAGCGCAATCGAGATGGCGTGCCGTGCTGGGACGGAGATGCTTCGACATACCAGGAGTACTCTGAACTGGCACTGATGTGGGAACAGAGTGTTCCATATCACAAGCGGTACCTGTGCAGGCCCCGCTTGATACAAGAGCTCAGTGGGACAGCCCGTAGGTTCGTGCTGGCGAAGGAGCCCGACTGGGTCTCCTACTCAGGAGGGGTGCAAGTTCTCTTGGCGCATTTGCGTCAACACCTGGGGTTGCCGCAGTTGTCAGAGATGTCTGACTACATGGGCCGCTACTTCAGGTATAGCAAGAGGAAGAGACATGAAAGCATGAGTGATTACATCACTCGGAAGTCAGAGTTGTACTCCAGGACATGTCAGAGCTTAGCAAGGGTACAGCAACGGTACTCGCCAGCAGCAAGAACGAGCAGGTCTGAGACGCTGACGAGACTGTCGGCAACCAGTGCCTCCAGCATGGCACCAGATCGCGAGGGTGAAGAAGAGTATGAGGATGCCGTTGAGGACGGCCAAGTGCCTGGTGGAGCCCAAGATGCCCGGCGTTCCGAGGATCCTTGGGCCAACTATGCACAAGACTCAGAATGGCAATGGCAAGATTGGCGTGGAGGCTGGGATGATGGATGGTATGGTTCCAGGTGGAGTCGAGACTCATGGAGTGGTGAGTCTCGCTATCATAATAGTGGACCACCGACTTCCAGCACTACGATGGATCTTCTTCCCGACTTTGTCCAAGGGTGGTTCCTTCTACAAGATGCTGGGCTGACCACGGCCGAGAGGAACATGGTCACCTCAGCCCTCAAGGGGAACTATGTCCAGGGTGGCGCAAAAGCTCCGAAACCAGTGGACAGACGAGGATCTTCGACGACGAGATCAAGGGCAGTCAGCTCTGGCGGCCATGGATGAGCACGAGGTCGATGAGGACCCCGACTACACCTCCATGGACTATGCGCAATTGGCTGCGCAGGGAATGAATGAGGAGGGCTTGATGGCCTTGGAAGATGCTGAACACCAAGCACAAGAAGCAATGGCCTTGGTAGAGAAAGGCCGCAGGACCTTGAAAGAGGCGAGGTTCAAGCAGCACCAAGTCAAGATGAGTCGACAGTACTACAAGACCAACAACAAGCCCGGCTACACCAGTGGTAGCTTTCGCCGAAGCTCAGAGGAGAAGATCACATGCCTTCGCTGTGGTGGTGATCATCGAGTAGCACAATGCCCAATGAAGGAGAAATCCCAAGCACAAGCAGCTGAGCATCAAGAGTCAGCGCCCTTTGTGTGCTTTGCAGACACTCAGGAACAAGCTTGTGTTGCCGACAACCTTGTCAGCACCAAGGATGCTGTGCGACAAGGGAAGGCAGTGCTCGATGGAGGTGCCACGAAGACATTGGCATCCGTCACCGCCATGGAGGCCATCATGGGCATCAACTCCAGCAAGCGTGGCAGCCCAGGAGTGAGTGCCGTAGATTTGCAAGATAGGCCAGTTTTTGGTTTTGGAAACAGTAGTTCAGACCGCTGTCTATCTACAGCTCACCTCCAGGTTTCAGCAGGAGGCCAGTCAGGTAGCCTCAGGGTACATACCTTAGACAAGGGTGATGGTCCAGTGTTGTTTTCCGTAGATGCACTTCGTAGGCTTGGAGCAGTGATCGATTTTGAATCAGATCTGGTTTGCTTCCGCCACCTGAGCGACAAGCATGTCATCAAGTTGGAGCGTTCCAACACTGGACACCAATTGTTACCTCTGACAGAGGACTGGTTTCAGCAAGCCACCGAGGTACATCAGGGCGTGCCCAGTTTGAAGGCCTTTCTGTAGGGACAACTCCTTCCTGCGTCTTTGTCTGTGGACAAAAGGAAGGACAGTGATTTAACAGACAATTTTGAGGGTGTCAGTGTGAACACTGACTCACAGAATGAGACTGTGTCAAATGCAAATGTTATTGTTCATGGTTTTGAGCCTCAGGGTGTTGGCGTTTTTGATCACAGTGAGGGTTCTCAGTCTTGTCACGTCATCGGCAACAATCAACCTAACTCTCAAATGCAATCACACACCAACAATCACACTACCATAGCAGCTGCAGCATCTCAAGATAGTGGTGTAGATTCCGTGCATTCCATTCCTGTTCTCAGCCATGCCCAAGGTGAGCAAGGCCGAGATGGTGACCGAATTGGCACGCCTTGGCGAGATCCCTCCGAAGCAGTGGTCGGTTGCAGAGCTGGCGACCCGTCTGGACGAGCTGCGTGCGGAACGCGGCCTGCCTCCATTTGGTCAGGCAAAGTCCAAGACTCCCCTGCGCAAGGAGGTGATCCGCCTGAACGAGGCGGCCAAGAAGAAGGGCATCTTGCAGGAATATGTGCAGAACCATCTCCAGATGGCCATCACAGGGAACGAGACAATCTTGCAGCTCCAGAAGGCTGCCCTCACCAAGATCTACCAGATCACCGAGGCCTCAGCCGAGGATCCAGTGGGATTCGGATGCCACTCAAGCCTCTCATATCAGGAGGTGATGACCCAGCAGCCCAATTATGCGGAGTGGTGCGTGGTGACGGCACGGGAGGGCCCAACGGACCCCCGCTTGGCACGACTGGCCGAGTGGATCCAGCACCAGCAGGAGCCAGAGATTGCCAAGCAGAACAACAACCACCCACCAGCGGCCACCAGTGCAGAGATGGAGGCCAAGGGTTACACCTTCACCGGCCAGAAGTTGAAGAAGACGGGCGCAACATCCACGACATCTTCCGCCTCCGAGAGCATCACCAGCTCTCAGATGGCCCAGACACAGGCCATGATCCAACAGCTGGCCAATGTGGTGATCGATTTGAAGGACGAGCTCCAGCAGGTGAAGCAAGAGCTTCCGCGCAAGGAGACCAAGAAGGAGAAGGACTCCGAGATGGGCAGCAATTCGACTTTCTCTCTTGTCACGAAGTGAGAGGCTTAGATCAGGCCAGTGAGGACCCTAGCTGTCACAATCTTAGCAGCCTGGAACCTAGTAGTTTGCCTGCGTTGGAGCCTGTAGGGTTCCCAGAAGTGCCTGGGGTAGAGAACACCAAATGTCAGCAAGCCACTCCTTGACAGTCTCGCAGGGTTGCTCATAGTGTTGACTCCATGTTGCCCGAAGCACTTCAGGCATTGACACATGATGGTTCACTCATGTTGCTAGAGGTCGCATGTAGCCCTGACAGCGTTCTTTCGGCCACCATGCAAGACATGACCAAGGACCCACAGTCGGCACATAGATGTTCACTTTGGAACCAGTGTGATTTAGGAACCAGCGCAGGTGTGAAGAATGTGTTGGATCAAATCACACTCAAGAAACCAAAGTCGGTTTGGCTCTCACCGGTATGTGGTCCATATTCCGTCATGCAAAATATAAACCAGCGCTCCGAACAACAGAAACAGGAGCTCGAAACAAAGCGTCGAGACGCACTGAAGCAGTATGTCGGTTGTGCCATCATTTTTCGGTTTTGTGTTCAACATGGTATTCACGCGGCATGGGAGTGGTCACAGTCATGTCATGCTTGGCGTCTTCCATTGATTCAGAAACTTTGCAAGGACTATGACCCCTATTTTTCTATCATACGGGGATGCCGGGTTGACCTTAAGGATGATGTTGGTAATTACATATCCAAGGGTTGGAAGGTCATGACCACTCATGAGTTGTTAGCACGTCGTCTTTCCTTGCCCTGTCAGTGTGAACCCCATGTGAAGCATGTGCCATGCGAAGGAAAATTGACCAACAGGACAGCTTACTACACTAGGAAACTAGCGCAACGGGTGTGTCAAGCCATCATTCAGGGGAGTGACCGTCAGACCATTCAAAGGGAACTTGAGGGACACTTCAATCAACCCAAAGAATTTGGCATGGGTTTGGTTTGTCAATGTCATGAGGGGAATCGACATGGGGCGCAGATCAAATGTGGTTTTTGTACCCATCAACAAACTTCTGACTTGTTTGGTTTTTCTGGGGAACATTCTGAAAGTTTTGTTGCGGTTGGTAAAAAGGATTTGGAACAAGTTCGTAAGAAATTGTATCTCCTTCACTCAGCTACTGGACATGGGGATCCCAAACATTTGTATCGTGCGTTGAAGTTGCGGGGAGCCCCTGAACATGTTCTTCATGAGGCCAAGAATTTTCAGTGTCCCATTTGTCAAGAGAGATCCAAACCTCAGCCTAGAAACCGGTCATCCTTGGAGCCACAGCCAGCTCGTTTTTCCACTGTTGCTGCTGACATTGGACATTGGGTGCACCTCAAAAGTGGTGAACATTTTCAATTCATTTTGATGATTGATGAGGGTTCACGATTTAGGGTTTGTCGGCATGTTCTCACTGGTAAACAAAAGCATGTTTCGGCGGCTCAATTTATTTCCAGTTTTAGAGAAGCCTGGACCGAGTACTTCGGTTTTCCTGAGACCCTGCGTCTGGATCCAGACGGGGCTTTCAGAAGCCATGAGATTTCCACCTTTTGTGATCAGCACCAACTGTTTCTGGATATGATTCCAGGCGAAGTGCACTGGAAGCTAGGAATCTGCCAGCAGGCGATCCAAGGTGTCAAGGAGGTTCTCAATAAACTGGCTGATGAACAGGAAGAATCCAGTTTTCCTGATCTACTTGCTGAGACTTGCCGAGCATTCAACGCGAGAGAAACCATCAGAGGTTACAGCCCTTTTCAACATGTGTTGGGTCAAGCACCGGACGAGACCGGCCGGTTTTTCCAATCTCTGAGACAAGCTCCTCCCGAGCCTAGCCTGGGTGTTTCAACAGTGGAAATGCAGCGTCAAAGGCAAGTTCGCCTCAGTGCTGAGAAAGCTTTCTTGGAGTGGCAGAGCCGTCAGAGGCTTCAGAGAGCCAACAACTCACAGCACAAGCGTGTGAGGAACTTTGAAGTCGGCGACCTAGTGTACATCTGGCGAAAACAGCTGCCCCACAAAGGAGCAGGACAAAAGCCTGGCAAGGGACAGTTCATAGGTCCAGCTCGGATCTTGGCAACAGAACAGTCCCGAGATCCTGAGGGCAATCTCAGGAGGCATAGCTCAGTATGGCTGGTGAGAGGTCGTAGGCTGATCAAGTGCAGTGTGGAACAACTGAGAGCGGCATCATCACGAGAGACTCTGATGGAAGAGCTGTATCAACCAGAAGATGTTCCCTGGGATTTTCCCAGAGTAGCCTCTGAGCTTGGTGGCAACGACCATAATGACATGACAGAGCAGAGCATAGATGATCAGGAGTGGCAGAGGGCGCAAGATCCTCAAGAAGAGCAACAACCAAGATTTCGACACTGGCACAAGCAGCCTGAGCGAGGCGCTCCCAGCTCGTCACAGCGTGACAGAGAGGTGCATCGCGAAAGAAGTCCTCTTCGAGCTCCCAGAACACAAGAGAGGGATCTGGAGGGTGATCTGGATGCACACATGGAAGCTGAGTCTCAGCCTGCTGTGGAAAGGAGAACAAGATCCAGAACTCCACGACCAGGCCCTGGTTCAGAGCCCCCAATAGGTTTTGCGGAGATGGAAGGCTGGTGTCGATTGGTGGACGAGGCGTACTTCACTGCTCCCACAAGTGACTCTTTCTGGAATGACCCGGAGGCTGCAGTCTAAGTTGAGATTGACCTGCCCCACACTCGTGCGTCCAGTGAGCGGGCGCTCAAGAACATGGTGGGCTACTTCACCGCAGCCATGAAGAAGAGGGCTGTGGAGGTGAATGAACGCAAACTCACAGCTGCAGACAAGGCGAAGTTTGCAGCAGCAAAGGACATTGAGGTGAACAACTTCATCCAAGCAAGGGCATTTGAATCACTTCCAGAACACCTGAGACTGGACAAGTCGCGTGCTATCAGGATGCGGTGGATCTTGACCTGGAAGAAGACAGACAGTGGCGAAGCCAAAGCAAAGGCTAGGGCTGTACTTTTGGGCTACCAGGATCCTCTGTACGAGCATCGGGCCACCACATCACCCACTACCACTAGACAGACTAGGCAGGTTCAGTTACAAATCTCAGCCAGCATGCGCTTTCGGACGTGGAAAGGCGACGTGACGGGCGCTTTCTTGCAGTCACGCCCTTATCCATCTGAGTTGCTGTGCATACCATGTCCAGAGATTTGCACTGCCATGGGTATACCAGCTGAGTCAGTAGTGAGGGTTAAGAAGGCATGCTACGGACTTGTTGGTGCCCCCCTTGAGTGGTATAGGTCAGTTTGTGAGTTTTTCTCTCATCTTGGCTTCCGACGATGTTGGAGTGACCCATGTTGTTGGACACTTGTCAAAGACGGTGTCCTCCGAGGACTGATTTCAGCCCATGTAGATGATTTCCTGTTCTCAGGTTCAGAGTCTGATGAAGTGTGGCAGGCGGCAATGACTGCCATCAAAGAACAATTTAAGTGGTCGGATTGGCAGCGCGATCAATTTGTACAGTGTGGAGTGCTGATCGAACAACATGCCGATTTTTCATTTTCTCTTTCTCAGGAGTCCTATGTAGATGAACTTAAACATATAAACATTAGAGCGCATAGGCGAAAAGAGAAACATGCGGCCACCGATCAATTTGAGAAGTCCCAGCTCCGGACGTTGCTGGGTGGTCTCAGTTGGCATGCCCAACAAGTTGCCCCACACATATCAGCGGAGGTGGGGATGTTGCTTTCCGAGGTTAACCATAGCACTGTGGAAACCCTTTATAAAGCCAATAAATGTTTGGACCAAGCAAAAGGGATGAAACAACATCGAATGAGGATTCATGCCATGCCAGTCAATGAGACCATACTATGTGCCTGGACAGATGCTGCTGCACACAACCGTGTGGACGGCAGTAGCACTCAGGGAATCATCGTCGCCGCAGCCCCAGAAGGATTGCTTCAGGGTCGGTGTGAAAACATATCCTTTCTTACTTGGCATTCCTCCAAAATTGGGAGGATATGCAGGAGCCCAGGGGCCAGTGAGGCCATAGCGGCTGTGAACGCTGAGGACTTGTTATTCTTTGCCAGGTTTCAGTTTGTGGAACTCCTAGGGTATCCCATTGACATCAGGCAGGTTAACAAAAGTGTAAATTTGGTTCGTGGTTGTTTGGTTATCGACAGTCGTAACGTTTTTGACAAACTAGCGACCGAGGTGGTATGTACCAGAGGTGCTGAAAAGAGAGTTGATTTGGATTTGATGAGTCTTAAGGACGCTCAATTAAGGAATCAAGTCATTGTGAGGTGGGTCCACTCAGACGCTCAGATAGCTAACTCTCTCACCAAGGGCAAAGAATTGCACCAGCTCCACTTGTTTTACGAGATGAACCAGCGTTGGCGAGTGGTGGATGATGAGACCATGTCCTCAGCTCGCAAGAGAAAAGAGAAGGGTCTGAAGCCACTTGACAACCATCATCCTCTACCTGAGAGCCACAGCAGTGAACACACACACAACCACAGTTCACACAACAGCAAAGATGACAAGTTTTGAGTTTTTGGTTGTGTTGTTTTGCCGTGGCGTTTCTGGTTTTTCTGCTTTGAAATGTTTGACACAGATCTTAAAGTCTCCAAAGTTGGGGATTGGTGGGGATGCAAGAATCTTGTGTCGCTCATCAATCATGGATTCGCGACAAGCATTGTGGATCAATGTGTGGAAAAGAAGTCCCTACACTGTGGTGCATAAGCCTCACGTCTTGGGAAGGAACCACACCAGGTTCTCATAGCTAGAGTTTTCCTCAGGACCACGTGTAGCTCCTGCACAATATATATATATATACAAAGAATGTTCAACATATTTCACCAGGTTACAACCTCACTCTGACTCCAACATTGCCAAACTTAGATACCGGGATGCCCTCCAAGAAACATATTTTTTGGCTGGTCAGTGTCTTTCTCCATTTGTAGCAAACAATTATGCCGTGAAACTACCAACCAACGGTATCCCAGTCAATCTGCTGGAGACTTCAGCAACTTGTCGGCTAAGTCACAAAATGTGTTGGTCGATAATCCCCAAAAATGAACCAGAATAGTTCATCAGAAGAGTTTGTTTTGAGTCATGCTCAAATTCACCACTCAACATTCAAATGAATCATGAAGAATATGACCTGCCCACATATCAACCCAAGGTACCCTTCATCTTGATCACACCAGATTTCCCAAAATCTCATGGTCTATCATGTTGTTTTATCTTTCATTGGATTGGTGTGATCGAAAAAAAATCCACCATTTGCAGTGGGTTCATTATTGATTAATGTTTGTTTTTTTTCCACTTCTTCCATGGTTTTGCCAGTGTTATCTACAATCATTGGATTGGTTTGATGACGATTTTCCCTCAATTCTAGGGCTTCCATCATTCCATGGTATTTCCCGGTGTTTTCTTCGTTTTTTCCTGGGTTTTCCATGGGTTTTGCCATGTGTTTCAGCCAATTTCTTACGGAGACCCTGATTTCTTCATCCTGGTGGCGGCCTTGGCAACTGCACGCGGAGCGCCTCACGCAGGTGTTGCCTGGGCATGGCACAGGATGTTGATTTTTTGTTCATTAAAAATACGATTGATATGATAGATCTATGATTCGATCATATACTATATATGAATATATATATGTATGTATCATATGTATAATATGTATCATATTATATGTATAATATGTATCATATTATATATATATATATTATTATCTTTGACTAATTGCATACGTATAATATGTAAATATTATATATATACATAAGTGTGTGTGTGTGTGCGTGCGTGTGTGCGTGTGTGTGTATAATATACATGTATAGTATATTATGTACATCATCCAATGTAAGTTCAGTATCCAAATACATTGCTTCTGATATTCATTCATATGGGTATTCATCTTTTTTTTTACCTGAGAAATGGTTGTGAAACAGTTATGGACCAATCATTTAATTTGGTGTTTTTTGACTGGTCGAGAACAGGATTCCCTTCAAGATTGGCTCCATTTCCGCCATCGATTTTATGACAGCATGTTGGGAAAGCGGAGTCTAAAAATGATGCCAACGTTGCCAACTTTGCACCTGAAAACTAGAGGAAATGAAACCATCACTGTCACTTTCAACGATGAGGCACGTCGTGCTCAAAAAGAACTGAGTTGCCAAGCGACTGGGTGTTCTTTTCACCACTCAAAACTCGATAGCATCTTCCCAGTCTTCCCATGTTTGATATCGGATTTGCTAAGCTAAACATACGGGGCATTTGCTAAGCCTACGGGGCCTACGCAGCTCCAAGGCACTCAATCGGCTTGTCGAAGGCTCGAGGCAGGTGGTCATTGTAGGGTGGATTGTAAATGCCTTCGCCGTCACAATCAACTCTTTAGTGAATCAAAATTTGCGGAGAGATATACATATATATATATATTGATATATTGTCATATCAATCATGTAGTGATATCTATCTATATATATACATATCGTGTATATATATATATCATCATCATCATCATCTTCATCATCATCATCATCTTCATCATCATCATCATCATCGTAATAAATAATAATACTAATAAAGACTATGCTAGTATTCGAGTAGTTAATTAGACAATATATATAGTAATTCACTAACATGAAACAAGGTGTCTTCTTGGGATATTGATCCCTACTAACCATGATTCCAGTGAGGTTGCAGTGAGGTCGTTATAATTTATACAAAATAGTGTAGTGATATATTCACATACCGAGTACAATATTAGCATTGCAGTAATTTATCTTACATATATTGTAGTGAATATATGACTTTATATGCTTATAACTCATGTAGTGATATACTTAGCATATCAATATGTATCAATATGTATCAATATGTATCAATATGTAGCGATATACACATCATTGATAGTGAAAGTAGTAAATATATCAGATCCATACATGTAATGTACATATCACTGATGTAGTGGTATATTAAGTATCATTTCAATTACAGAATATGTCAATGATATCCTTTCCATATATTTCCAGCATAAGTTAAGGGTTGATTCTTGGGACCCCTGACAGGTGGTAATTCTGCAGAAAGTTTGCTAAGCTTTTTTGGTGGCTCATTTAGTTCGATCTTGCTATACCCTGCAGTAAAGAAATGGCAATCGAAATCAACTAAATCAACCATTTACTACAACCATTTTCAACCATGTACAGATTCTTTTCCCATGAAAACCTCCATTTCCTGCAGGGATTCTTCAGCTTAAGAAAAACGTCGCGAAGCCGGTACCGTCCTTTACCCGGTACGGTCGAAACCCCGTTTTTTCCAGCGGCCTGGGATGCTCTTGGTGCTAACCTCCGCGAAAAAGCCCATGGGATGATCGGCGGCGCGAATTTGTTTTGGGATGATCAATTTGATCAATGTGTTGGGAATACTCTGTGGTTAAATGGGAAAATCACCATGTTTAATGGGAAAATCACCATGTTTAATGGGAAAATCACCATGTTTAATGGGAAAATCACCATGTTTAATGGGAAAATCACCATGTTTAATGGGAAAATCACCATGTTTAATGGGAAAATCACCATGTTTAATGGGAAAATCACCATGTTTAATGGGAAAATCACCATGTTTAATGGGAAAATCACCATGTTTAATGGGAAAATCACCATGTTTAATGGGAAAATCACCATGTTTAATGGGAAAATCACCATGTTTAATGGGAAAATCACCATGTTTAATGGGAAAATCACCATGTTTAATGGGAAAATCACCATGTTTAATGGGAAAATCACCATGTTTATATAATGGGAAAATCACCATGTTTATATAATGGGAAAATCACCATGTTTATATAATGGGAAAATCACCATGTTTATATAATGGGAAAATCACCATGTTTATATAATGGGAAAATCACCATGTTTATATAATGGGAAAATCACCATGTTTAATGGGAAAATCACCATGTTTAATGGGAAAATCACCATGTTTAATGGGAAAATCACCATGTTTAATGGGAAAATCACCATGTTTAATGGGAAAATCACCATGTTTAATGGGAAAATCACCATTTTTAATGGGAAAATCACCATGTTTAATGGGAAAATGACTATCATTGCTGGTGTTTACCATCCGGTTATGACTAACAGGGCTAGCCATGGTTTTTCGATGGCCCATTGATTTATAGATGGTTTACCGTTTACTTAATAGCATGGGTGGATTTTCCATGGCTAGCCCTGTTAGTCATTTCACCAGATGGTATCATAATCATTGACCATGATATTGGGAATAAATTGAATATCATGATTGAATAATTGATCATCCCAAAAACATAATCGGATATAATCGGGAATATCATAATCATTGGTGCTCCATATTTGGGGCTACTATGTTCTGGTTGGTAAAATCCATTGAACCAACCAGCAACTGAAATCCGGGATGATCAGATGCATCATCTTACACAACGAGCAACATCCAAAAAACATCTGTTCAAACTTGATGTTGGAAGATGCTGACGTTGCAAGCATGAAGTGACGTCGTGGAACCGTGCTGAATTTGGAGATTGCTGAAAACAATCCCGGCGGAAGTTCCTGTGCCACCTAGAGACCTGGATAGTCATAACCTCACTCATACTCAACTACCAATCATGGTCCGTGATCCTCCAGATACCCGGTAAACAACACCTGGCAATTGAAATGTGTCCCTAATTTTGGGGATGTCTTTCCAATGTTTTCCGAAAGACTGGTAACTTTCCATTGCAACCTTTACCTTTCACGAAAAAAACCACCCCGGATTTAATCCCAAACTTGTGGAGTTACCCCAAAAATAGCGCCATCGTGATGTGAACTTCACAACGTTCCCGAAAAGTTGTACCATCTGGTTATTTAACATAGCCATGGAAAATCACCATTTTTAATAGGTAAACCATCTATAAATGGGCCATTTCCCATGGCTATGTTAGTCATAACCAGAGGGTAACCGCATAAATCTGGGGGTCGTTTCGCGATGTGCCAAATTCCAAATGACCATCTCCCAAAAAAAGCCCAGGAGCCAAGTGGTGAATCTCACCGGCCACGTGGCAAAACTCCTGCCTGAAGCTGGGGTCATTATCGGTGACCCTCGTGGAAAAAAATGCCCAAAGATACCCAGATTTGGAGATCCCAATTTTTTGGACCTCGTCTCGTTGGAAAATGGGCCAATTTTTATAAGGGGTCAACGGCTGATTTACGCCAAACTGAAGAGACGTCCACAAATCACTTGGCATGGGTGTACCTGAAAATGAGGTCAAAATTTGACTCAGTGGGAGATTCTGTTCCACCCTTTCTCACCCTAAATTCACGCAGTGAATTACAAGCCGTTTTACTCAGCAGCCTCGCCTCATCCTCTCCTCTTCCTCCATCTTGGCAACTGCCAATTTCTCCTGCCGAAGCCAACTGATTCAGAACACGGCCAAAAACGACCATAAAAATGGCATAAAAATGGCATATCTGACTGCCAGCCTGATGCTCATGATCCAAGTACCTGCCAATTTGGATCAGAAAAATCAGAGCAAAATTTCTGTCGATCGGATTGTCATGAAATACCCTCTGGTAAAAAAAAAAAAACATAGCTGTTGAAAATGGCCATGTATAGTGGATTTGTCCATTAAAAATCGTGATTTTCCATAGTTACGTTAGTTTACCAGAGGGTAATCACAAAACACCGACTGCAACTGAGGGACGTGGTGGTCCATTCTCCACGCTTGGCCAACTTCTGCACATACCTTTCCGCGTTGCAACATGGCTTCGTTCATGTCTTTGGGCAGACCCCAAGGTTTTTGCCGATGGAAAAAAGATGATGCAAATCGTACTCCACAGTATTCTGCAAGATTGGGGTATTCCTCCCATTCCATAGAAATATACCAATACGTCTCCCAACAAAAATGGGAGCTATGCCTACTAAAGTAGACAAATCTATAGAGATTGCAAGCATCGTTGCCTCTTTCGACCACCGAAGTCGTGCAAATGCCTGGCGAAGGGTCTGAAGAGACCCTTCGATTTTCAGGGGGGAAACCATCCCAAATTTTACCAAAAGGTGGTATAAACCATCAAAAGATGGGTGGATTATTATTGCTTTACTAACATTACGTCCAAAACAACTCCCGGTTCTTAGTAGCTATAGCCCCATTTTACAACACGATTTAGAAGTCGCAACTAATTACAGTCGTGGGCTATAAACAAACATTGCATATCGTATACAGAATGCCGGGAGGTATAGCAACCCCAAAAACATTAGAAAACTAAAATCCTACCAAAATGATCCAAAATGACGAAGAATGACTGTTCTATCTTTTTTGGGGGTTACTATATATATATAGATAGATAGATAGATAGATAGATGGATAGATGGATAGATTGATAGATTAGATAGATGGATAGATGGATAGATGGATAGATGGATAGATGGATAGATGGATAGATGGATAGATGGATAGATGGATAGATGGATAGATGGATAGATGGATAGATGGATAGATGGATAGATGGATAGATGGATAGATGGATAGATGGATAGATGGATAGATGGATAGATGGATAGATGGATAGATGGATAGATAGATAGGATAGATAGATAGATAGATAGATAGATAGCAAGTACTATACATAGGATACCAATGTTTTTTTCGCCCAGAGCGTCATCCTATGATCTCACCTTCTGCTCCACCATCCGCGGAAAGTTCGTTGCATTACCACCTCAGCGGTAGATCTTTTGTGACCATCGATTTTTCATGGGATATCTGGAGAAAAAAAAAACGAAAATGGAAGAATGACCCCCAAAAAAATTAAGAATTTCGAATTGGGAAAATGATGAAAATGGATGAAAATGGATGAACATGGCCCATTTTTTTTAGGGAAAATGGTCAATGGCATCTGTGGATTTTGAAGTACTCTAGTTTCAGAGAAACCCATTGGTGTATGGCCAGGACGGAGTGGGCGGAGTGGCCAGGCTTGGTAGTCACCAGATGTCACCAGTCGCTGGGCAGCAGACAGCAGCTTGATGGAAGAATTGCGCCTGAAACTGCCTGACACGACGTGATTGCCTGTGGTTTTTGGAAGCCACAATAGCCCAAAAATGAAAGTCCAAACAGAAAGCAATAGACTCCACTGAAGCTCCTATTCTGAACATGATCAGAATGAAATCTGACCTTTCTTCATGTCCCTTGCTGGTCCAAGTCTGCGCAGCCTTAAAAATTTCATGAGTCCAAACATAACTTCGAATCATTTCACTCTGTCGGGGTCAAAAACTATTCATTGCCCTCTGGTAAACATACAAAAAGCTACTGAAAATGGCCATGGAAATAGTTGATTTACCCATTCAATAGCTTTTTGTATGTTTACCAGAGGGTATACCCAGTACTTTGGGGCTATGAACCACCTTTGCCATCCCAGCTTTTTCACAGAAGGGACAAGGTGAGGACCCGGTTATAGGTTGATAGACTTCATGATTACATCCCCATTAAACCATAGAACTCACCAAGTAATGTATGTCAACTTAGAAATAATGGGGTGCCTCACCTGAAAATGGGTGACTAAGACCCATCCTTACATTTTTCGTTTCAATCTTCAATGGATGTTTCAGAAAGCCAAATTGGAGGTACCTACCATATACAGTATACGGTCTATGTAAAGGCTATACCGTTTTTTCGACCCAATTTCTATGGCTTTATGGTACAGTACCTCCATTTTAGGCTCCAAAAATTCCCACTGAATCCATATAAATCAGTCTAAATCCATATGTCTGACTAGAAATATTATAAATGTCTTTAGTCATATCTCGCCAGTGCCATTTATAATGGATACCCTCTGGTAATTTAAAATAGCAATTGAAAATTGCCCATTTGTAGTTGATTTACCTATTAAAGATGGTGATTTTCCATATCTATGTTAGTTTACCAGAGGGTATCTATTATGGAGGTTTCCATAAATGGAGGTACCCCAATAGCTGGATGGTTGATTTCATGGAAAATCCCATCAAAAAACTGGATGATTTAGGGATACCCCCATGACTTAGGATTTCTCTATATCATTATATCAATAAATAGGAGATTTATGGGATGATTATTGATTAATCATATTTCAATGATATTTCAATTACATATTAGATATTGAAATCCGCCCGCACCGAAGGTGCTGGGGCGTGATCTTCCGGATGGCACTCGTAAAAGGTTACAGGTTTACCTGGGGGGGGGGGGCATTTTTCGGCCAAAACCTCCTGTTTTTGATAGGTCGTGACGCTCGCCTTCAAAAAACACTGTAAAAAACAGTACGGAAGACACCTGTTCGTGAACGCGCCCGTCCAAAATCGGCAAGCGAAAAGTGAAAAAAACCGTGTTTTTCAACTTTTTGACCTCGATTTTTTGGTTTGCAACCTCTTTTTTTGCGGTTCCGCAGGTGGCCGGGCCCGGAGGCGGATTTTTGAGTTTTTGGACCCGTTTTCGGACTGATTTTCGTCGTTTTGTGATAGCAGAAACACTGGTTTTTACAGTGTTTTTCTGTTTTCTGCATGCTTGACGGCTAGCTTCAAAACTTCCAAAAACCTCGTAAATTACGCTGTTTTATGTTACGGTGTGAATGAAAACATCGTAAATACCAGTGTTTTTTGACGTTGGTTAAAAAAACACTGTAAATTACAGTGTTTTTGGCCACCTGACCCTCAAAAACCATGGTATTTGCAGTGGTTTCTGCTTCTCACCGCGCAAAAACACTGTAAATAACAGCAATTTCGCCGTTTTTTCATGTTTTTCGTTATTTTTTGAGCTGCGTTGGTCCGCTATACATGGCTATCAAATTCTTCGCGTTTTTTTTCCCGACAATCAGTACTTTCGGATGTTTTTGGTCTCAATGGCCGACATCATTGGCAGTTACGAGCGGCTGCCCAACGATGCGGTGCGGGCGGTTGCCGTCGCGAAGCGACGTGAATATATAATATAGGATTTCATCATTCCAATATTCCAAATCATCATATTAATTATATTCCCATGAATATTGAAATTACCATGAAAATTCCCATTAATATGGGAATATCATGGAATATCCAATATATATATATATAGGATATATATATATATATATACATAGAATATATATATAGGATATTCCCATGAAAATTCCCATCACTTTCAGTGCCAAGATCTCCTGGATCTCCGTTGGGATTTTCACTGACGCCTCTGCCGTTGGAATCGCAGGATCCAGGAACGTCTTCGCCCGGACCAGCCGCGCACAGCGCGCTGACGGCATTTTTGCGCTGGGAATCTATGGAGAAGATCATCATCGTGCATAATATATATCTGACATTATAATCTATATATATATATAGTGCATTTTATTGTGCAATATATAAGATTATAGTGATAAATATCTGAAACACTTATTTTTTATAAATAATATATATATATAGCTTATCATAATAACAGTGTTTATAACAATATTGAAATGATAGAATTCTGATATGTTTTGTTCGACGTTGACATATGTTGGCCCAGGATTCGCCACCCATTTATTGGTGGAAAAGCTGTGGCTTGGGGTTTGGCATGGTTTTATCAAGCAGTCGAAAGAGGACATCGATGATTAAGATGCCCAGATTTTTGTACACAGATATATCAACCATGGATAAGTCTATTCTGAGAATCTTGACTCACATTTTTCTGCGTGTGGCATCATGCGTTTGATTGGAATCGCGGTTTCAGAACTAGCAGGAAAAAAACATGATGAGTGAAGCAGAAAGAAGTGTGAAAGAGACGTGATTCTTCCAAAACTGGGATTTCCACCGACTTTGGGACAGCGACTTGCAGATTTCTCGATGCACAGCCAGTGATTTTCCGCTATCCACCTGAATCAAAAGAGTGCTGCCCACCACCGCATGCCAACCTCATATCGCAGAGCTCGCATGCCATGTGTCAGTGAGACTCTGCAACAGGGCCCATATTCCGCATCTATGTGAAGGTTCAGCGCAGCGAAGACGGCATGAAACATCTTTTTTAATGGAACGATGAACTACCCTCTGGTAATTTAACATAACTATGGAAAATCACCATTTTTAATGGGTAATAAATCCACTATAAATAGCCATTTTCAATAGCTATTTTGACATAACCAGAGGGTATGTCTTAAAAGAACCTTGCCCTGAATGAAACCAGGTCCTCAAAAGCTTGAAAAACCAGGTCCAATTGAACGCCGAGATTTGCCAAGTGATCCAAGTGGCTTCTGCGGATTTTGGACGCTCTGTAGACGCTTTGAATCCTGTGATGGACTGGAGTTTCTCCGCTGTTGCTGGGAAAAACAACGGATTGCAGAATTCCCCTTGCCGACCAGAAACCATGAAATCTTCCCAAACTACAACTTCCAAATTTAGAAAACCTGGAAACAGCACTGCCACGAAATCATCTGAGATAGACACTTTGTCACTGCTTCAACCTCAAGACATCTCAAGACCCAAGGCCAAGGTTTTAGGTTTGCATCACTGACTTTTACGAAGATTTAGAGTGAAAATATGTCCAGAAATATCAGCGGGTGAATATCGATTATATACTTCTGCGAGTCCCGTGGCGCTTTCCTTCTCAGATCGGAATGTGTTTGGAGAATGCCATGGTCATATCGGTCATATCGGTCATATTGGAGGATTCGCAGCATCCAGCAAGGCTTCTCAGACATATGTTGCATCAATTTCTGGCTAACCGGCCTGATCTATGGCTGAAAAAAGTTCCAAATTCTCAAACTGAGTTAGATTGAGTTCCATCTAGATCCCGTCACAACCCATCATCCATTTAGTCACAAATTGACACGACAAAAACGTGCCTTTTTTCAGTGTGTCATTCGTGTCATTCGTGTTTTTTTATGGGTGGAAAAAAAGACCTGAGATGTCTGAGATCACCATGATCACCTGAGTGCCCAAACCTCCTTGGCCAAATTGTCGCTGGCGGCCTGCGTTAAGGCGAAATAGTTCTGAAAGACCTGGCGTTTTCGGACTCCAAAAAAGATCTGGAAATTTGGCGAATTCGGCGATTGAAAAATGGATCAAAATGGCTATTTTTTCTGTTGGATTTTTTATTGGATGTTCATCCCAACAACAACAGAAAATGAAAAACGGGTGCATGTTGTTCTTTCGTTTTGATCCATCTCAAAATGGGGGATTCGTCCCGAAGCTGCCCACTCGCTGGACGGCCCAAGGTCGTGAGGGGCCAAAGTCAAATGGGTAACTCCGCGGAGATCAGCAGATGCTGCACTCCAAGACATTCCTCATGTCTTCACAAGACCAAACATGTCTTCTCTCGGGTTACCCTCTGGTAAACATACAAAAAGCTAGTGAAAATGGCCATTTATAGTGGTTTTTTCCCACTAAATATGGTGATTTTCCATAGTTATGCTAGTTTACCAGAGGGTAATATCAGGTTAATATCATGTAAATCCACCACGGCTTTTCGTTCCATTCGTTCCATGCCTCCTCCGTCTTCTTCTGCAAATCAAAAAGAAACGCAGACATGGCTTGCACAGCAAGTTGATTGCGTCTAGTCCTGGTGGTTTTGACTCTGTGAGACCTGAATGAGTTGTCATGATGTCAATTGATGTCTAGTCATGATGCTCAAGTTGGCTGCCAAAAATTGATCTAATGAAGGTGCCCCACTGTAGCAGGGCTGTGGCGGCGTCTTCATCTGGGAGGACGAGCCAAAGTTCGCCAACATGTCGTCCAGGGCTCTGCATGCTCTGCAGGGGTGCAGCATCGCAACATGTCGCGGACGTCGCGGACTTCGGGCTGCACTTTTGCCACTCTGCGGCAAGGAAATGCATTTGCTCGGCTCAATAGCTTCTGAGAAGCTATCAAAAATAAGACATTTGAACTACAGCGATGCCGTGCAGGGCTTCGAAAACAGTCGCACTTTTGGAGCATGGAACTGTTCTTTTTTTCAATGTATTCAAATGTCATCTTTTCCTGTTCAAATCGTCATGTCGAGCAAAAGTCGACCCCACTGTTTTGCTGGCCCTGGCATCGCATCAGCCCAGCGTATGATTGGCGATCTTGATGCCCAGCGGACAGTTCACACAGACCTCCGGCAGTCCGCTGACTCGGGCCTGAAGTCGATTCCAAGGCGTTGAGAGGTGACTGAGGTGACGATGAGGGAAATCCACAAGAGAACAGCATAAAATGGGGCTGGTCGTCATCGAAACCTTAGGACCTACATGTATTCAATCGTTTCAATCAACAATGTGGAAACAAAGAGTAGGAATGGGACATAAATACTGCAGACTATGTCAAGGAAATACGGTTCCCTCTTTTGTTGTCTTTCGCCTGTTATTGGGTTGGTGATATGCCCAGAAAAGATGTGTTTATCAGCGATTGAAAGCCTCAAACTATCTTGGTTGTGGTCAGTTGCTTTCACACATCCAGCTTAACTGCCCCCTGTTTCCCCAATATGTTTGCCCATATATGGGATTTCTCCACATACAACTTGGATTCTGCCCGAAAGTCGGAAAGTCGGAAGCCCAACTGGAGGCAATTTCCCCGTGGTGACGGGATGTTCTTGCAATGAAAATTTCATCCAAATCCATGTTTCTGGATCAATGATATCCTCGATCATCCCCACACCTCAAAAAATCCCATCCATATCCCATATCATCCCATATCCCATCATGGGGGGGGGGTTCTTAAAAAGCTCAAAAAATGCCAGGATGGTCAAACGATTAATGTCAAACTATGCTAAACTATGCTAAACTGATCTGGGGATGGGTCAAAACCCTGGTACCTAGTGAACCCCAAAATAGCTGGTAAATGGATGTTCATCCCACTAAAAATGTATCTATAGGTATTGACCCATACCCATCTATGTTAGGGATGATCTGGGTCCAAATTTCGCCCAGTGACTCTCAAGGTTTGTTCAAAGCTCTCCACGTCCAGCTTTTCTGGGACTTCGCCAATCAAATGCAGCCGCTTTAAGCGAGGGCACTGGCACAAGGCCTTTTCCGATTGGGGGACGTGGAAGACTGGTTGGAAGACTGGTTGGAAGACTGGTTGGAATTCATAAGGTCTAGAAAAAACACTAGGATATGGATGAATATGGGATGAACCCCTCCGATATGTTGATATTTTTTAGATCTTTGAATACATTTTTTGGAATTTGAAGGATCAGAGGGCCATTGGCTGATCGTTTTGCCTCACCCCCGAACCCCCAGGGCCCCGAACCTCCAGGAAGACGGGAAAAACCAAGCCATCGTGATCCCAGCCATCCATCACCAGCACTTCTTCCACAGTTCTTCCCAGCACGCTACAGGCATTTTCCAGTGACCCCATCTCTGGATCTTGGGGTGCCAGCAAGCCAACGAAGTGCAAGGGGAGGACGGAGATGGCAGCCTTCAAAAAACACATGGACGTCCTGGTTCTTCCAAAAGTACCGAAAAACCACAAAAAATCAGACGGAACTGGACATATCAATTCTTCCGAAAAACTCAACACGACACGCGAAAAAATCGGGCCGAAATGTACCCATGGGAGAAAAAAAAAATACAAGTTTTGCTGCGCTCGGATCGATTCTTTTGAAGATCGGTTCTATACAATAATCCTGTTACTCCTCAACAACTTGTGACCCAAAAATCTCACAAAAAAAAAACGTCGCGGAGGCTCTTTGTGAACCAAGTCACTTGCAATTCATGCAACGTCTCATCTGATGCCTCAGAAAACCAGCTATATCCCAAGGTCAGTGACTGCAAACGTCGCTCAGGACCCAGTTCATGCAGCATCTGGGCCACAGCTGCCAGCATTTCACCTCAATGGATCAAATTTCTAGCGAAAATCCACATAATTCTGGTGGTTTTTCGCCACCCCTCTGAAAAATGATGGAGTGAAAGTCAGTTGGGATGATGAAATTCCCAATATGATGGGAAAGTCATAAAATTCCATGGTTCCAAACCACCAACCAGAATTTGTTGGTTTCATTTGCTCTCCAAATCTGCCTTCCTGCACAAGAAAACACGTCTTAATTTGGCACCGCAAAAATATTGCAAGAATCGTTCATGTTGGGATGTGAATTTCCAATATTTTGGTGCTATGTGGCATCCATTCTCATCGTTTTGAATTGAACCATAGACATATACTATGAATCAGTTATCCTGGTGATTTACGGCGTACGGTATGGTATATCACCATTTAAATGATTGATCCCCCGGTTTTGTTGGTCATTTACCTCCACAAAATGTGTTGGTCATTCTCAGTAGGTAATCATTCATATCGCACAGGTATGTAGTTTTAAGCGGTTTCAACAGTTTCCGCTCCATTTCTCACTTTGTGCCATTTTGAGGGTTGCGAATGCACCCATGTTCCCCCATTTTCCCCAAAAAAATCATCCCAGTGCATAAAATCCGCAGCCTCCCGAGCTCATCGTAGTGTCCAGATCCAATCGTAGCTGCTTCAGTGCTTTGCAGCTGCCGATCGCAGCAATGAGGCTGCTACCGATCTCATTCTCGTCGTGCACGCAGCGCAACGTCAGGGTCACCCTGCGACGGATCTGGTGCAAATCCATGCCCCGGCAGAGACATGAAACACCCTGGGCTGGGAGAAAAATGGATGTAAATGTGCTAAAGTTACTAGACCATGTTGACATCAGCTAGTGTATTGTTAGGTCATAGTCTATCATTGTTGACATTCTTGCAGTCATCAGACAAGGATAATTTGACAAAGGCGACAGATTCTAATGGATTCTTGGAGTCAAAATCAGGGGCCAAAACTCATCGAAACTGATCCATTTTTTGGGCATGACTTCGAAACAGAACCAGTCCCATGGCAAAACAAATGGCCCAACCTCTCCAAAGATCTCAGGTGTTCAAAGGCATTCCCCAGAGCCGGGAGTAGACTGCTGTTGCTAAACATGCACCTGGTCTCCTCGGTTTCGAAGAAATTGTTGACCCCCTCCATGGGCTGTTGATGTAGATGGCCCACCCATGGGTTCTAACGAAATATTTGAATCCTCAAGATAGAAACCATGATAACCATCTAACATGATATCATGGTTATCATGGTTATCATGGTTCTAACATGAGATGATTCAACATGGTTGTATCATGTTCATCCGTTCACATCAAGAAAATCGCCCAAGTCGCAGCTTGCTGTTAGCCTAACTTTAACCCGACTGGGGCGCTGGCCGCAGGCAGTGGTCTGGATCTATTTCGCACCTCCAAAGGACGTGAGGACATGGCAAAAATCCATTGGACAAGGCCTAAAAATCATGGTTGGCTATGGATTTTATGATGATTTGATGATTTGTGTTTGGTTTTCCACGGGGGATTCCTCAGTTGATTGTGATCGTCTCCAATAATATGAAGCTAGTAGTCTACACATGTCTACACCCCCTGTAATTCTCAACCAATTGTTTTTTCTTCAAAAACAACAACATGGTCATGGCTCAGATAACGAATGATCTTCGACTTCATGATCGGTCTCAGTCATCGTATCATCGTGGAAACCAGAAACATCTCACGATGAACCTGACATTTCCTCGCAGCTCCAGAGTCATCTTCCGGCCATCAAAAACCGGACTTTTTTCGACCGAATGAAATCACGAGCCTCGTCCTCGGGTCCATAGGGGCCACCCCCTTCATCAATGCTAATGGGACCCAGCTCCTCAAACAAAAACATGGCTGGTGAACCAAGAAAATGGCTGGTTGACATGGATATTGGATATGTTTTCTATTGAAAATGGCCATAGAAATGGTTGATCTACCCATTAAAAATTGTGATTTTCCATAGTTATAAGTTATGATACATATAATCTGGTTGGTGGTATACCTGCCCCTCGGAAAAATATGAAAGTCAGTTGGGATGATTCTTCCCAATATATGGAAAGTCATAAAATTCATGTTCCAAACCACCAACCAGTAATATACCTAAGTCTTGTTGATTGTCGAACAGGTCAACCCCTTGAACCTATAAGACTGGGTCTAAACATAATTGGGTACGGTAGGTCTAATTTTTTTGGGGTCTTTTTTTCATAGATTCAAAAACCAAGTTTATGGGTAAATACTATGGGTATAATGACTATTATTTCATTACTATGGGATTTTACAGTTGTGGTTATTGTTCATTACTATGGGATTTTTGACTTTATTAACCATGAAATGGTGATGTTACCAGTCTACCATAGTTGTACTAACCTGGAGCTTTTCATGGCTACAACTATGAGATTTTAAGCTCCAGTTTTTGTTTTACGGGTATAACTATGGTGAAAACTTCCGCTCCATAACTTGGAATTTAATGTAACCCCGGCACGGCAACAGTTGTATGACCTACTAAAAGAAGTGGGACTGCACCAAGTACCCTGGGTAATCGGTGGAAACGGAACATCCCCGAACTAAATGGAGGTTTGTGGCCGGCAAAACCATCGACTAATGGTGGACTTTCCAAATGATGATGCAGTGTCGAAGATGAGGGCCACAAACCAGTCTTACTCCGAAGCAGTCTTGAGTTTTTGAGGATTACCCTCTGGTAAACTAACAGAACTATGGAAAATCACCATTTATAGTGAATTTTCCCATTAAAAATGGGTTGATTTTCCATAGTTATGTAAACGTTTACCAGAGGATTATCATTCTTCTTCGTTCTGGTAAACTAACATAATCCATAGTTAATGGGATAATCATTACCCATCTTTATCGTGGAATGGCTTAGAGATTCCACGGCTGCCTGTCCCCTCCTCCAAGCTGCTGCACAGGGCCAAACGCTCCACCAAGTCTTGCAGAAAGGGATCGCTATCCAGCTCGGTCATGGGCCTATTTTCGCAAACCCCCATATTTCAACGGCCATTCCAGGATCCGATTGATTGGAGGTACCAACCACATATAAGGCCTATTTTTTAGGCCTATGTAAGGGAATATCCCCACCAAATATGGCCTTATATGGTACAGTACCTCCATTTTAGGATCCTGGAATTCCCATTGAATATTAGGGGATTATATGGAATGATACTGGAGAAACACACTTCAACATGGAAGATTCAAGTGATGAAAATGCCTTGATTTTTTAGGTGAAAATCTGCAGAAAACCATGGCAAAATTGCCCTCAAATACATAGAGATTTCTGCGGATTTGCCCTTCAACCAATTGGGGCAAGTGGGAAACAACATAGAGTTAATAGTTCTGGTTGGTTTTAATGCGAGTTCACAGTTGATTGTTATCATCACAATAAGATGGAAAGGGTGGTATAACCCTTGATAGTTATCCACCATTTGGGGCTTTTGAAACGCAAAACAATTGCCATCATGTGTCTATGCCTAAAAACGACCCCCCCTCTTTCTTCATAAACCAGTTGGAAAAGGACACCATGGTTAGGAGAAGAGAAAAGCGCCTGGCAATTTTTGGAGTAATTGAGATTAGTAGATGCTTTAAAGCCAAACATTGTGTTTTTTTTCATCAAAAAAGTGTGATCCATTCATTCCCCATTCCTGCTTTCAGGGCGCAGCGGCGTGAGGCAGCTATAAGCCATCACTCCAGCTTTCAGCCTCTAGCTATATGTAGCTTCTCTGAAAGTCAAAGAATCCAAGGAAAAAAATAGAAAGCATAAATTCAAAATGTGCCAAGTCACCTTTGCTTCAAAAAACTCACTTCGGTAAATAAAGATAATAAAGCCAGAGCCCCGCAGGCATCGTGACCCGAGACAGGCCTGATGCTTTTCAGCTGCTGCAGTTGACAGCAACGAAGTGCAGAGGACCTCAACGTTTTGAAAACGGGATACCCCCAATCCCCGAGGCTTTGGCATCATTTCTTCTCATTGAGATATATTACAACTGCAATTTTGGGGTATACCCCATGGTATCGCATGGTTAACCCTAATTGAGTTCAGAGGGACAGAAACTATTGAGTTCAGTATCAACTACAAAAGTCTACAAAATACATTGAAGCTGGACTGTGGCCCAAAATCCAAGGTCCTCATACCTGGTCCATGTCTGAATGAAAAAATGCTGGCCGATCATCCAAGATCTGCCGTTGAGTTTCTGGCAAGGTCGTTCCTCGACTTGGATATACATGGGGACAGCACCTCAGAAGAGGTCACTCAGACGGAAGTCAGGGCGAAGTCCTGACATGGGGGTTTCCATAAATGTGGCTATCTCAATAGCTGGATGGTTGATTTCGAACAAAAACCATGGAAAATGGATGGAAAATGGATGATTTTGAGCTACCCCCATTTCAGGAAAACCCATGCATCTGGGACACCCAGACAGTCTGCCCTCATAGGAGACGCTCTGCAAAGCCACGCGGCAAGCGTGCGAGAAGCGCCACACCTGGAAAACTTCGGCAGTCGGCGTCAGTTCGGCGTCAGTGGATGGATGTTTTACCCTCCAAACATGGGAAATTCCCGAACTAAATATGGGGTCATCCCTGTTAGCCGCATCATGGTAAGATGGTCATCCAACTGTCATGAGGTCCTGATATCGAGAATGTCATTTCCAAATATGTTCAGCCTCTTCTTGACCTTTCAGCTGTTCAATGACGGACATCCATGGACATCCACGATTTTGAGACTCCGGCAAACCAATGAACAGTCGTGAAACAGAATTTTTAACGTCGAAAACGTGGGTCCCGTCATTGCTGTTAGGATCTTTGTCCCGGTCAATTTTGACAAATCCCAAAAGTAAAAGTGAGTCAACTAATAACAATAAAAATATTATATAGATAATTATAGATAGCCCGTAGAAACCATAGTTTAGGATTGAATCTGGTTATTTTGGTGCCCACTTGGTTTTTTTTGAAGACTCCAAACTTGACCCGGGCCGCCTCTGATGCATAAAGCCCATCAACAATGGCTTGAAGCAGCCTCAAGTCAGGGGGGCCATCAGAGCCAATGTGAAAAAGCTCGCATGATCATCATGAAAATTCTACGTGAGGCTTTGTTTCACCTTCGAAAGCAGATCAATTGCTAGATGGTTTACCCATACCCCATTATAATCCCGCTATTTACAGCGCTTTTGGTTAGTTACCAATAGTTACGAAATGGCGGATGTTGACGATTTTATACCACCAATTTTCTGGTGAAAATGCCACTGAAAAGCTGATGGATGGGGCAGGCATCCATGGATTGAAATCCGAGGAGTCGTGCACTTTGGAAATCCAACGGACGACAGTAAGTGAGCAACTTACGAGCAACTTGAGATTGAGAAATCAGGTGTTTTTTTTTGTACTTTGCAGCCATATGCCATCAGAAAAAAACGCAAAACAGCAGCCCAGCAATCCATCTCTCAGGCATTTTTTCCCACCAACCAGGGTCCATTGGGTCCATTGGAAATCGTGGAATTTTCGCTGGATGTTCCCATCTCCAGAAGCCGAGGTGCCCTGGGTCTTGAAGCAACGTGTGCCATACCGCCATCTACAGGCACCAGGCTCAGCAAGCACTTTTTTCGTAGCGATTTTCCTGGGAATTAACGCTGGAAACCCATCCACGTCTTTAAAAAAAAAGAAACAGGAACCACTTGGATGAAAAACCAGGCCCCTTATGATAATTCTATGTTTTTGCAATGTTCTAGTTTCAGATGTTGCAGCAATGTTTTGTGATGGCAAGAATGGAAAAAGGCGTTCTCCACTTCTTGTTGTTCTTCCATTGAAAGAGGTTGCAAATAAAGAGCCCTTGGCTGCAAGCATCCTGCAATACATGTAGTGCATCGGCATTGGTATGGCTAATGTGGCTCAAATTTTGAGTGGATACACAAAACTGATTACTTTTCCTATTCGACTCATTTGACGAGCATTGTATACAGTGGTAAATCATTTGACTGTGGGTCAAAAGTTAAGACCGGACTGCACTTCTTTTTCGGTCTGTTTGGTCATTTGGACTATCCAGCATGCAGATTTTCCAGACTGAACCCATCTGCAGAGCAATGGTTG